TACTGAAGCACCTTCATATGCATCTTTCCCCATTAGACTAGAAGGTATTTGAGAACAAAACTCTCTTATTCATGATGATATCTGCAAATAAGAAATGTTTGGTGAGTGAATCCATCAATAAATGATAAAGTGCATTCTGAGCAACAAACAATAATGTTTTACAAGTGAGCTTCTCACACATGGCCTATTCGCTGAGCAGGCAGAGTCTGAAAACAAAGGCGGAGATTGAACACATAACCAAAAACATGGATGTACTATACTCTGATCTCCTTAAGAATTAATGCTCTACCAATAGGTCTGGAACAACAGAGGTTCATAACAACACAAGTTCTTAACATCATGTCTGTGTACCTATACGGACCCAAGAGACAGAATTAGTAAACACATGTCTGTCCCCTTCTTTGCACACTAAGTAATGCATACATTGCTGATTGTTTCTGAAGCTTGAATGGGAAATGTGTTTTTAACAGATTTAATCAATACACCAACCTACATTAAAAAATAAACCCACACAATAAATAAAAAGCAAAAGGCCAATCAATAGCCAACAGTGCAGCTTAACAGCCACTCCGGTAGAAAACTGTCTGAAAAAGGCGCTTTACACTCCACTATCGGCACGATCCACAGCTGCTTGCTATTGATTTGTTGCAAGCAAAGAACATCTATTATCACATGCCAGTGTGAACCTAGCAATTTCTCCAACAGGCAGTCTGCAATGTGTGACTAGCAATGTAGCACAGGGTGGCCGGCTCCTAAGAGTGGGCTGAGGACCCATGTTCATTCCCTTTACTTCACCCCACAAAGCCATGATGAGCACCCACTTCCTAAACTCAGGTGTGTTAAGGACTCATGTGCTTAAGACTGTCCTATATGTGCTTCTACAGGGCACAAGAAGCAATAACGAGACCCCCAAATTACATGACACTCAAAACAGTTGTCATGTACATGGTAAAAGGCAACAATGCTGTTAAGGATAGGTATGAAATGTTTAAAACTGCTATTTTCACAAAGTCCATAAAAATGACAACCCTTTTGTACATGTGTGGGTGCATTCAGGAGGGTTCTATTCTACACAACATTTTTCGATGTTATGAAGGAAAGAAAAACTCAACGGCAGGCTGACAATGACAGTGATATTACCACAAAATATGGGAAGGAGATTCTGGATTTGCCTGGTGCTGCCATGGCTACAACATGCTAGAATTTCCCAGGTTCTCAGTCCTGATTTAAAATACTAATAAGAACCCAATATCAAAAAAGAATATTCCTATAAGAACCTTGGTAAGGTTCCATTTCCTCTGTTGTTCTTAAAATGTAGTCCAAGACAGCATTTATTAAGTTGATTTTTAGGTGGTGCTCACCCTCTGAATAGCCAACTCCCTCAATTTTAAATGTTTCACAAGAACTGAAGATGATCTTGGAAAATGTTACGTGTTCTTCCACAGATCATACTGATTTCTACATTAACTCAAAATTTCTTCTGGGATGATTATATTGTAGAATCAAAACAGCCCTAAAAGTCAACCCCAAAGAAACTCCCCATGACTTTACCATTACGTAACACTGTGGAAGGTCATATCTAAAACTACATAAGAAAATTAGCAAATCAATTACACTTGGGTTTCCAATCAGAGGATTTTTGTTTCCTAACCCCATACAAGGGAATCACGCTTATACAAGACAATCAGCTCTAAAGAATATCAGCTTTGCACAGCTATGTTTATAAGAGTGAAACTGAAATTCACCCCACTGCCTCCATCAACACACCAGGGTCACACAAAGAATAAAGAAATACAGTGGAAAACATCCAGGCTTGGCCTACTCACACTAAATGAGACTAAGTTTTAAAATGTACACTCTACTCACAGAGGCAACATCTATGTAACAGCACATTAAAATTGTCAGGCAAACGTATTTGGTAAATAGGCAAGAAAAACACAAATGTCATAAAAGAACCAATGCTAGGAAAAAGCAACACCCTAAAATGTAGACATTTTTAGAGCCTTACAAGTCATGCCTAGATATGATTAATGTTTTTACACATGATGAAATAAGTACCTTTTTTTGGAAAATATAAGACCTAGCTATTTCCCTGTTGAGTAAGTTTCAGTTTTTGGATACACAGTAATAAACTGAAGTGTTTTCATGTTCATTAATTGAGGATCAATCTGTTGCCCTGAGAAACAGCTCCTGGAAAATGAGATATCTATAACCTTTCTTTTTCCCCACAAAATGCGTTTTGCAATTAAATTTGATCTCTAACCTATTTGCATGGTCCTATGATAGCATTTAAATGGATACAATTTATTTGAGCTATATGCAACATTCTATAGAACATTCTCTTTGCAGGAATTAATTAGGTAAAGGACAAGTTTCCTTGATGGCACTCGACTTTTAATGCCGTGACCCATTTCTGTTATTTAGGTCAAAGGCAGGCCACTTGTGGCAGGCATGTTACCAAAGCAATTGTTAATGACCTCTGTGCTCTTCCATATGTGACCCATTTTCTGATTTTCTTTATATTCCTTCTCGTCATTATTCTTCCTCCTCCATGAACTTATATCTTCTTTCTTTGCAATTTCCCCCACTGCTCTTTGCTGATGATAAGCATGAGCCTATTCAAGTCTGCTGGTGACAGTGAAGGTTGATACTTGAATCCTGATACAGGATACACCACCAAAAATTTATCAACAAAGGTAAGCACATAGAATATCATACAGGGAATTTCATTTTGAAGATGTTTGTGACATGAAATAGCCAATTATAATTCTAAGGGTCAAGACTGATAAAGAAAATAATGGCCTATGATATAGTGAGACTGCTTATTCTAGGTAGAACAAACTGGCTTTGATGCTAGTTCCAAAAGAGAAGGTCTTCCAGATACCTTGAATACCAATTATTGGAAACAGAAATGTCCAATGTAATCATTTTAAGCAATCTACCATTCTGCTACATTTGGTTGGATTTCATTAAAAGCTTATATTCAAACTTCACAGTCACATCCTTTATGTCTTAACTTTATATATTTATCACACTCCACAATTGAGATGTGTACTTCCCTGTAATTCCAGCACTTTGAGAGGCCGAGGAGGGCAGATCACGAGGTCAGTAGTTCAAGACCAGCCTGGCCGACATGGTGAAACCCCGTCTCTACTAAAAAATACAAAAAAAAAAAAATAGCAGAGCATAGTGGCGGGCACCTGTAATCCCAGCTACTTGGGAGGCTGAGACGGGAGAATCGCTTGAACCTGGGCGGTGGAGGTTGCAGTGAGCCGAGATTGCGACACTGCACTCCAGCACGGGCAACAGCAGAGGGGAAACAGCAGAGTAAGACCCCATCTCAAAAAAAAAAAAAGATGTGTACTTCATCATTTGCATATATCTATCTAATCACAGAAGCCGTGGTCCAATCTCCAGGTGGGGGACTAGGCAAGTAGCTCCTGTTAGAGATGCAGGTTCCCAAGTCTGCTACAATGAAAAGATTTAGCTGCATTGTTAAAGAACAAAATTCAAAATGTATTGCCCTAAACCTAGATTTACTAGAAATATTTCTGAACTATGATAAACTGTTGCCACAAAGGAAAGCTGACATTTTCCCAGTGTAAGTTCTAGTGCTTCATTATATCCCAACAAATTCCCCAAGTGGGACAATGTAATACTCCACATCCCAGACTGAGACATAATCTGCTCTTGATAAAACCAGAAACAGTCACAGAATGCTAGAAAGAATCCTTCCTGTGTTTTACCAGAAAATAATGCCTGGTATTGGGTGACAGACAGGAACTTGTCAAAGATAGAAAAAGACACACCTACCTTCTGAAGATTGTGCAAGTTCACCATGTTAGGATAACTTACCTTTATACCTGTTCTGTGTGGAGAGTCTCTTCATGACCATTTTCAACCCAGAGTGGGATGTATGTGTGACAAGAAATAAACTTGTGAGGATAAAGAAGCATTATGCCACCATTTAGAGAAAAAAGCCTTCCTAGTGAGTGCTATACAGACAAATTGGAGGAAAAAGAAAGACCATGTCGTATAATTCCTCGGGTTTATAACTACCTGTTTCAGAGTGAAACAGTATTTCCACATCATAAGTATGGCAACGTGACTTTCAATAATACCAAAAGACTTGGTAAGAGCAATCTTATGCCAAAACTTTCTCCAGACATTGTATCCTTCGCATGACAGATACAGAGGCATATGCTTATGTAATTAGATGAATGTGTATTACATAATTTTCTCTCTATATTGCCAACTTCTCCACTTGTTTCTCCTCAGTGTACCTTAAGAGAATGAAAGAGCATATGGGACCAAAACTACTAAGAAAAATGGGAAAAAGAACAACAACAGACAGCTGCATACGGATAATAAACTGAGAAATAAAGAATCAAGAAAACCACATAGATCTGGGGGGCATAGCATTATAACTGGTGTCTGTTCCCATGTGGCCACGCCATAATGTGACTTTACTATTTTTTCAGATAATATCATACATCATTTTTCTAAAACCAAGAGGTCAAATGAGTCTGGATTATAAGACCAAGGCTGCATTTAGAAAGTCAGAAGGTTAGTAGGACCCACTAAGTCAGGGATTTTCAACAAATCACTTAGACGTAGTCATTCAGAAATTTCAAGTGTATGCTCACCTTTACTATGGCCACATCAAGAAAACAACATGAGAAAGAAGCGGAGACACAGGTTATAGATGCCCACAGCATTGAAGCGTCTTTCCAGTGCTAGAAGCACCTTCATGAAGTCAGAACTAAACCCATGAACCAGAAGCAGCACTAGTGGACACAATTAACAATCACAAGACTCTCTTCCAATAAAAACCAAATATACTATATATACATATACACACACACACACACTCTCTCACAAAATAGAAAATGCATACATACATGTATATACACACACATATATATACACACACAAACATGCAGAATAGCTATGAGTATATAAACCAGATACCAATAAATTTAGTCAGAGAGAATTTCTGCCCTATACCTGAAAGACACCCAAGAATGCTTTAAACTTTGCTAATTGTAAAAAGTAAACTCTTGAATATCTTTGTCATTTGGAAGGCCTAAGAAATTCAGATAACTCAAATCTTTTGAGAAAACAGCTATACCCTTTAAATAACCTCAACATTCTAGGCAATGCAAAAGGGGAGAGTCTCAAAATTATTACCAATTTGGAGTTAAATTCAATAAGATAAGGTGATTTAATTCATGAAGACCTGAAGCCCTTACAACAAAAATATTGCCTGAATTGGTTTTGCTGCTGTGGTTATTGTTTGTCAGTCGCTATTCTAATCTAAAGAAAAAAACACAGGGAGTAAGCAAGTGGGAGAACATTTAGTGTTGTTAAGCAAGACACATCTCTTCACTCGTCTCATAAGAACACTAGTCATTTATTTCCCACGTTCCTGGAGGAGAGAATTACTTATGAATCTTTCAGAAGAATCATTCTTTTATACATTGTCCCTTAAGATTCTCCAAATCTCCGAACACCTTGACAAAGTTCCAGCATGAAAGGCTGTTGTACTTACGATCATTGCACTGGTTTCCGGAATATGAGGTCATAGAACAATCACAGGTGAAGCCCTCCCATTGTTGCATGCAGACCCCCTGGTTGGCACATGAATCTTCCTGGCAGGTGGTACTGGGTCCTAGTGATGCACAACAAGAGGGGGAAAAAAGAGAAAGGAGAGACAGAAGAAATGTTAAAAATTAGATTCAAAGAAATCACCTGAATTTACCATTCTCATGCCCCCAAACATTTGAAGACACAGCACCAAAATTGCCAACTCAGTCTCATGCAACAAAAACTCAGTATATACAAAAGATGACGGAAATACACACTTAGCCACAAACTATCAACAGTTACACACAGAAGGGAGAAGGCTGAACACACTGTTCTCCTTTGGGTTGACTTTGCAAAATAGCTTCATCTCTACCTTTCAACTAGAAAGATATCTCATTTGGATTATAGTCTTTTTAATGTAGAATGCTAACGCAGAAAAAAAAAATTCATTCCCATGATTCTTATAAATTAAGGCACGGTGTTTTTTTAATCCTGAAACCAAAAGTCCCTATGTCTACCTTGTGACATAAAAAAGATGTTTAATGATATTGATAATGATGAAGAGAAGGAGAAGAAGGAGGATTTAGCAGCCAGCATGTGTTGATGTTTTGTAGGAGGGGAGTACTGGGTACTAAACAATGTATTTACATTATCTCACTGAGCTTTCTAGGTACTCTAAGAGTTAAGTAATTATGATTACCTCCAATTTACATATTTTAAAAAACTGAGCTCAGGAAGGCACGGTAATTTACTCAAGGTCACATATTAATTGAAGGATGCTGATGTCCAACTTAGGTAAACTAACTCTAAAACCCATGCTGTCGACTATACCAGTGGTTCTCAACGTGTAGTTCACAGATGACCACCAACTGGGAATGTGTCAGGAATGCAAACACTTGGAGCTCACCCCAGACCCACTGAATTAGAAACTTTTGCAGGGAGGCATACATCTGTTTTTATAAGCTTCTGGAACATTCGAATGCAGTCTGAAGTTTGAGAGCCATTACACTACAGCACACTGCTGCTCCAGGTACTCTAGAAATGGATTCTTTTGTTGTTGTCAAGACACTCTCACTCTGTCGCCAGGCTGGAGTGCAGTGGCACCATCTCGGCTCATTGCAATCTCCGCCTCCTGGCTTCAAGCTATTCTCCTGCCTCAGCCTCCCGAGTAGCTGGGATTACAGGCATACACCACTACACTCAGCTAATTTTTTTTTATTTTTAGTAGAGACAGGGTTTCACCATGTTGGCCAGGATGGTCTCGATCTCCTGACCTTGTGATCTGCCTGCCTCAGTCTCCCAAAGTCCTGGGATTACAGGATTGAACCACTGCGCCTGGTTAAAAACAAATTCTCTTAAATGGAGTGTGCGTGCGCTGGAGCATGCAAAAGAGAATCATTTGTGCTATAGAAAGAAAATATTAGAAATTGTGTTTCTTTTAATTCTAAATTATTTCTATTTCTGTGTGTCTTTCATATGTTAATATATAAGAATAATAGTACATGTATATAACTTATAAATAAGTTTACTTATTTTGAAGGTATTCTCAAAATCTTTCACTGATATGAGGGGGCATTAAAATTTTTTTGATGATCTGTCTCTTACAGATTGCCATTAAACTCTCTCTTTTGGTCAGACTGGCACTTCTCTCCAAACATTCTCTCTCTTTTCTGATATAGTCTGCCTTAACTTTGGGATTAAAGATAAATCTATACCTTTAGGAGTATCTGGACTCACAGGAAATATCTTAATATTCAGGATAACTCCATGAATTTCCCAGAGAATCTCAGCAAAGGAGATTGACTCACCAAATACATGTCTCACCAAATATATGTCAGGAACTAATGCATAAAAGCACATCACAGAGAAAAACATAAAACCATTGCAATAACAGCATATTTCACAGTTTCTAACCTAAGCCTCACAAAAGCAAGAATATTGAAATGAAAGAACACAGGGTCCTAAAGATGCATGTTCAAAAGAGATGCACGACTACAAAGGGTTCGTCTTCTGGGTGGCAAGGTGTTTTGCATTTATTCATGAAGGGTGGAAGCAGGGCAGGCCATCACTCATAATACAATGCTATGAGGACATGACATAAGAAAGTTCAAAACAATTACTAACGCTGGGGTTACCGCACTGCTGCTGGGTTTCTGCAGCTCCTATTGGCCATGTGGTTGCCCCATGTAGAGATGAAAGGAGGTACGTGGTCATGTTCTCAGTGGGTCTTAAATTTGAGCATTGTGTTATACAAGTTTCATTAACAATGGTAAATCAGGACAGCTTCTTTCAAAGGATAAAAGCTTCTGAGAAGTCCACAGGGGCTCCCTGGCCAAACAACTCTCACCATACAATTGGCTAGTAATTCAATTGTACTCAATAATCAGAAACACATGGAAGGTTTTACTGTCAATGGCAGTAAAACAGCAAAAACTCTGGGAAAACACAATAATTCTTTGAATGTTGATTGAATCTAAAGATGAAGCCTTTTCCATGTCTTTTGCCTTTCCTCTAACTGCCAAATTTTAACCATTTTCTAAGGACCAGCCTGAATGCCTTCTTCAAATGAAACATTAGTCAATAACTTCAAACAATAATTCTCCCACTTTTGTGTGGCCATAGCAATTTTTATCTGCATCATTAATTTTTGTATATAATATTCAATTTAGCACTTTATTACACATTGCACTGTCTTCTCCTCATATGATCCTCTAATTGCTTTATGTTTTTACTATTTTATCATCAAAAGTTTGAAAGCTGCTTGCTATTAGAAATCAGGTAATATTCTCTGGTTAGGTCCTTGTGGCACTAAGTCTACTGTGCAGGTGCAGAAACAGTGTATCAGTAAATGTTGGGGTGACCTGAATTGTAACCACCCTTGATTTGCTGTACCATGATTCCAAAACCTGAATGTAGGAGCATGTCTCCAGTCTGCAAAGTGAGCAATCTTTTCCATTTGTCAAAAGTTCATCAGGTACCAAATACAGGGCGGGGATTATAGGTTATTTATTAATTCCACTGAATTTGCTTCACTTGCATTAAGGGGCAAAGGCCATGTAGAATCAGATAGTACTGGAAGACTGACTACATTGTAAGCATTCAAGAACAACAGTATTGTCACTAAGGACTTAACAGAACTTTCAACTTCTCATCAACCTGGAACAAACCTTGAACTTCCTTTCGATTGAGCTCCTAAGAGCCCCTGCCTCCTTCTCCAGTCTTATTTCTTACTATATGTCCCTAGCTCATAGTACTACAGCCCTCTCCTGCTTTTAATTCCTAACACAATGATTCCCAGAGTGTTGCTCCTAAACCAGCAGCAACTGTATCTCCTGGAAGCTTATGAGAAAAACACACTTTAAGGTTGTACCCAGACCTACTGGCTGGGGGCAGAATTGAGAAATCTGCATTGTAACAAGCCCTGTGGGTAGTTCAGATGTCTGCTCATATTCCTAGACCACTGCCTTAACTTCATGCCCACCCCTACCTTCAAGTTCCTTTGTTCTTCTTGCTGGACCCATGGCCTTAATTGTGTTTTCTCCAAATTCAAATTTCATTTTTATTCTTCAAGTTTCAGCTCAAAATGAGCTTTCTCCAAACTATCCTACTGAAGGAAGCCCCCATTAGCAGGACATTTACTCTTCATCACGTTTCCCTATTTACTTAACTCATAACAATTACGTGGCCTGTAATTAAATTAACTTCTTTTTGATTGAAAGATAATAGTTGTTTATATTTAAGGGATACAATGTTACATTTTAATATATGTTTACACACAGAATGGTTAAATCAAGCTAATTAACAGATCAATCACCTCACAATCTTAGCACTTTTTTGTGGTGAAAACATTTAACATTTATTCTTCTAACGATTTTGAAATTTAAAATATATTATTATTTGTTGTAGTCACCATTCTATGCAATAGACTGCCAGAGCCTATTCCTCTTTTCTAATAGAAACTTTGTACCCATGGATCAACATCTCTTATTTTCCCATCCATCCCCTCCCCCAGCCTCTTATAGCCACTATTCTATTCTCTACTTCTATGAGTTCAAATTTCTTAGATTCCACATAAAGTGAGATCATGTGGTATCCGTCTTTTTGTGTCTGGCTTATTTCACTTGGCATAATATCCTCCAAGTTCATTCATGTTGTTGCAAATGAGAGAGAATTTCCCACTTTTTTTTTGTTGTTTTTTTTTTTTTTAGATGGAGTCTTGCTCTGTCATCAGGTTGGAGTGCAGTGGCACAATCTCGGCTCACTGCAACCTCTGCCACCCGGGTTCAAGCAATTTTACTGCCTCAGCCTCCCCAGTAGCTGGGACTACAGGCACACGCCACCATGCCTGGCTAAGTTTTGTATTTTTAGTAAAGATGGGGTTTCATCATCTTGGCCAGGATGGTCTCAATCTCTTGACCTCGTGATCCACCCGCCTCGGCCTCCCAAAGTTCTGGGATTCAGGCAGGAGCCACCGCACCTGGCCTTCCCACTTTTTTTAAGACCTAATAAAACAATCTGTTAAGGGGCTATTGTCTAAAATATATAAGAAATTCAAACAACTCATAGTAAGAAAACAAATACCCCAATCAAAAAATGAGCAAAGGCATTGCATCGTGTACATATACCATGTCTTCTTTACCCATTCATCTGAGAATGAACACCCAGGTTCCTTCTAATTCTTAGATATTGTGAATAATGTTGCAATGAACATGGGAGTGCAGATATCTCTTTGGTGTACTGCCTTCAATTCTTTTGGATTGAAACCCAGAAGCAGGATTGCTGAATCATATGGTAATCCTATTTTTAGTTTTCTGAGGAACCTCCATTCTGTTTTCCATAATGGTTATGTTAATTTACATTCCCACCAACAATGCACAGTGTTCCTTGTTCCCCACACCTTTGCCAATACTTTTTTTTCTTTTTTGTCTTTTTGATAATAGCTATTCTAACAGGTGTGAGGTGATATCTCATTGTGGTTTTAATTTGCATTTTCCCAAAGATGAGTGACGTTGAGCATTTTTTCATATATCTGTTGGCCTTTGCATGTCTTCTTTTAAGTGTCTAGTTAGATTCTTTGTTCATCTT